TACCTGGAGAAAGAAGAAATAAGGTGTATTTGCTGTGCCAACGATATTTTGGGAAACTAAGGTAATTATTCTTTCTATGTATGTCACAACGAATTAGGAGTCTGGTGTATTGCATAAGATTCGTTATCTCGGCGTTGCCAGAGGGGCAAAGAGTAAATGAACCCTATTCAAGTTCTGACGAAGGGCCATCGGTCTAAACGTAAACCGTTTAGAAATTCTATATGATGGTCAATTCACACCATCAATTTAGCTGAGAAGACCAAATTATGTATATTCAAGCGAACTCTACGACTTCTAAAGTCGATCTTACCCGCAGGAGAGCCCGCAGATAATAATATGTTGTTTCTCTGAGACTGAAAACAAATGAACAAAATAAAAAGGCGTCAAAATTCCGATTTATTCTTGCTTAGTATTCTTGCGCAATGTTTTGTTTACTCTAAAAACTGAAAGGGATTATTTGTGATTGACACATGTGCACTTTTGAATGAAACAACAGAGCTACGTTTGGCAAGGACTGTCACGACAAAGTTTTTTTCAAAAACAGTCAGAAAGTATTATTAACTCTCATCGGCGATTAAGTAATGTACGAAGATTTACCTCTGTTCGGTAAGTAAATGGCAAGGAAAGTAATTAAAAGGAAATTCGAATGATTTCTTTTGAAGTTGTGAGAGTTTGCTCGTTTTTTTGCTGCAATGGTGTGTGTAAATCGGGTCTTTCCTCCACAAAAACTAAATTCGAATGAGACACTTCAATTAGACACAAGGGGATTTATGCAGCTTTTTCTAATTTAATTGCTTCAGTTTCTGTTGTGCAATTTACGGTACAAATGTCCAAATTGAACAGACTTGGAAAGACTTACCGAAAGCGTATATTTGTTGTAGAACTGAAAACTTTGCTCGCTCTTTTACTTCGAACAAATTGTTTGAGGGAATTCAGATATAAAATGAGTGAAAGTTTCATCGATTAATTCAATGGTGACCAAACGAATACCTTAAAGGGCATGTAAACCCAAAAATACATGTTTTTCTCATACTATG